ATAGGGTTTCCAAGGAGGAGCTGGTGAGCTTTAACCACCAACCTTGCAGTTTAAAATGGCCTTGCAGTCTGGTGCATTAACCCACAGATGCTCAAAGCTGATGATAAAATCCCATCTTCATAGAGATTTCCTGGTTACAAAGAAATACCCTGCTATTTTTCTTTTTCAGTTTAGTGGCTCTTGATGTGTTCTAATACCAGAATTTTATCATTCCTTAAAAAAACCCTATACCCATTAGCAGTCACTTCTCATTTCTCCTGATTCCTAGTCCCTGGCAGTCAGTAATCTACATTCTGTCTCTGGATTTGCCTATTCTGGCCATTTGATATAAATGGAATGAATATATGACCTTTTTGTCTGTCTTCTTTCACATGCCATAATATTTTCAAGGCTCCTCTATGTTGCAACATGAATCAGAACTTTACTTTTTATCACATAATAATAGTAATCCATTGTATGGTTATACCACATTTTATTTATCTGTTCCTGAGTTTAAACTTAGAATTGCTCTCAGTTTTTAGATATTATGAACCAATGGTTTCTTTGAATAGTGTGTACTAGTTTTTGAATAGATAAATGTTTTCATTTTTCTGAGAGTAGAATCAATAGATCATATGCTAACTCTCTAAGTTTAACTTTTTGAAGAATTGCCAAGCTTTTCCAAGTTTATTTTCCAACCAGCAATGTAGAATTCTAGTTTCTGCGTGCAATCAACACTTGTTATTCTTTCTTTTTTAATAGCCATTTTGGAAGGTGTTAAGTGATTTATCTCATTGTGGTTTTCATGTGCATTTCCCAAATGACTAATCATGTTGAACATATTTTCTTACCTTTCTTTCTGCTTTTTGTTCCTCGTTCTTCCTTTAATGTTTGTCAATGTTTTTCAAATGTATCGAAATTTTATGATAGGGATCCAAAAAGTTTGTGGAAAAATTCTATTAACTTTTTAATTTAATTTTTAATTTTTTCACAAAAATTTTGAAGCCCTCTCCTTGTATTCTCACAGTTTAATACTCTGAAGACAGTACTTAATGATCCATTTTCCACAGTTGATTTGTTTTAAAAAAAAAACCTACCTTAAATTGTATATCAACATCCTTTGACTTCAAATCTTACTTATCACTCTGTTAAGACTGAAGAAAGTTACTAATATATTAAGTTCCACAATACAGCACAACCCCACTGACATACTATGTAGCCCATACTCATAATTAATAATAATAGCCAGTATAAAACTGACCTGATTGTGTACCTTATCAACAAAACAAATTCACCATTCATGGTGATTCCAACTATAGAACCACCTTATAGAACAGTAAAAGCATCCTATATATAGGCTTTCCTAGGCTGCAAATCTTTATGGAAGCAGACTGCCAAATCTGCCTCCCTCAGAACCACTAATAAATAGCTGCACAAAAAGTTCTAACAGTTAGCAACGAGCATTTTAACCCCAGCCCCACCAGAGCTCCTTGGCTCATGATGTTGTTAAGTGCCGTCAAGTCAGAATATATCAACCCCTATACAGGGTTTCCAAGGAACAACGACCTTGTAGTTCAGTGCTTATCCTATAGAACCACACCAACACTCAAAGTAACTGTAGTAAATTTGTATAAATGAACGAAAAAAAAATCTTTAAAGGGTGTATCTCGTTAAAAACCTTCCCATTAGAGTAAAAAAATAACCCTTTCATGACTAAATTATTTAAAATTTTGTTGATAACCATGTGTTTTCTGTAATAGAAGGCATGCTAAAATCTAGGGAAAGGTTTCCTGATGTAATAAGGATTTTGATAACAATTATGTTGGAGAAATAGTCCTGGTGTGGTGCCTTGTACCAGAAGGTCGGCGGTGAGGGTAGCAGTAGAAATCAGTTCTGTCCTTGAGACTACATCCTACAACACCACACCAGAGCTCACATGTTGATGTGCAGTTGAGTGGGCCCCAAACCCTGTACAGGGTTTCCAAAGAGTGTCTGGTGAGCTTGTAGTTCAAATCTACAACAGTGCCACACCAGGACTCCATTGAATATGGTGGTGGTGGTGATGTGGTGTGGAGTCGGTTCCAACTCTTAGCAAACCTGTACAAGGTTTATGAGGCTGTATATCTTTACGGGAGAAGAAAGGCTCGTCTTTCTCCTGCGGAACAGCTGGTAGCTTCGAACTGTTGACCTTGATTAGCAGCCCAATTCATAACCAATGCACTACCAGAGCTCCTTATTGAATATAAGGATATTCCGTATATATTCCTAGATATGAGCTGTTCGTTATTTTCTATTCTTCAAGCCTTGAACCTTGCTTATTTATCAGAACAAAACTCTTTGTCAGAATCCAGTATTCATGTAAAATGTGGCCTGTTTTTATGTGTTTCGTTTGCTTGACAAATAGTTGTAGCAAATTGGAAAACATCATTTTAACTTTAGTTGAGTCTCCTTTTGATAAGCATTCCTTTCCAGCTCACCTGAAAGTAGATTGTAGATACCCTTCTTCATCTCTAAGACATACTGCAGGAAAGCAAGAGCAGTCTTCTCACCCCCCTCAGCCTCCAAAACAGATTACAGATATTCAAATTTGTTTCCTTGAGTACTGAAAGAGTTCTGCCAGCTGAGACTTGTGTTTAAATACTTTACTCAGGTCAACCCATGCTTCTTGTCAACATTGACCTCACTGGTAGAAACATGTTCTGTCTAGCGCAAGTGGAGGATTTCTCTTTTGGGATTCTAAAAAATAACACTTGGCTCTGAGAGTTTACAAAGGTGGTCGTCTCAAGTTCCTCTTTGTTACTTCTAGGATGACGAATGAGAAAATGGGTAATTTAGATGAATTTGGAACTTTTTCCCAGACAGGAAGGAAAGTAGACTTGGCTGTACTCATTACCTCTATTTGGTTTGATGTTTTTTTGTTGTTAGCCATATTCTAATGAAAGTGTCATTATAATTCAGAATGATTTTAGCAAGAGGGGAGGTATTTAAAGTCATTAAGAGAGAATTGCACTAAGCTGAATAGATGAATAAGTCAGAGATGTTCCAGACAATCTAAACTCTGGAACTGAAGTCTGGGAAATTTTAAACATATCATCATTTTTATGGAGAAAGAGTATATGCTTTTAAAGGATATTCACAAAGAAGTTTATATCTTTATAGAAGATTAACAACTGCTATTCAGAAGTACTAACCTGATTTTTAATTTCTTGAAGGCTTTTTTTTTTTTATTTCAAGTTACCCTTGGCCAGCATCTATGCCTTCTTCACATTATCTTTTTTCCCTTCCGTTTCTGATGGTAAAAAGAAAGGGATGCAGGCTTATATTCAAAGAGTTATTTATATACAAGGAAATAGAATTATCTTGAATGGTAGGTCTTTAAGTACTTCTTGGTACAGTGCTAAAGAGACATGTTAAGAAAACTTCTAGCAAAAGTGGTATCATTGAAAGTGAGTAGAATAAGGCTATTGGAAAGGAATCTCAAACATGCAATTCTCTGAGACAAGTAGAGGCTTTCAGACAGATTGTGGGCACAAAGAACAACACTGTTTGTACACATACAGTATTTGTTCCACTGGTTTGTTTGTATGCTTCTTTTGTCTTGTCTTTGAATAAGCGAGGTCTCCTTCTCCCAGACCTGGGTGTCTTCTGCATCATCCTTCCACAAAACTGCCAGTCCAGTGAAACAATCACTGTGTCACTGATTAAACATTTCAGTCTACAGCAGGAGAAACAGGCTTGTCATTTTGGAACGTGGTGTACATGAGAAGTTTTAGATGAGTAGATAAAGGAGTTTACTACACACTCCTGGCTACTAAAAATCCACACACATCTCCTCCCACTCCCCCCCCCCCTTTTTTTTTTTTTTAAATTCACCCTAACCCTACTGTCTCTTTGTCTAGCTCCTTACTTCATAGGTAATGGAGAGAGGAAACCTGGCCTAAAACCCACCAAGGTTCAAACTAGTGTTAATGAATATGCCCACGTGCATGCTTTGAATGTGAATGCTGTGGTCAAATCAGATTTGTAGGAGTCTTAATATTTTAGAACTCTTAGGCTAAGACATTTCTTACTTGCATCCTAACTTTTTCATGAATATTCCCTTAGCTTTTTTCTATAAATAGTACTATAAGTCATTATGAAAACATACTACTTTTTTTTCCAATAATTTGATGACAACTCCTTTTTACCTCTTTACTGGGGCGAAAAAAAAAGAAAAATCAAATGAAATGAGATGAAATTATAATTTATATAATTTATACTTAAATTAGATAAGATCTACAGTCTCCATCTAGTGATTAAATTTTAGTACCTTATAATATGTAATGCACATTTAGGTACTGATCAAAAAGCTACCAGGGAATTGCTGTTCACAGTCTAGCCCCAAACATTTAAGTAGCCACCAAGTTATCTTGAAATGTTTCCTGTGGAAAAACTGTCTTCCAGAATCTAGAATGTAGTATTTTGTAACACAGCCTAAAGTTTATGTACAATTAAATATAAAATTGGTTTCATCTTAGAATTCCTCTTGTATTCTGGACAGGTGTTAGACATTTGCATTGTAACTTTAGTCCAGACACACTGACAGTTTCTTTTTTGATTACTATCTAAGTGATGTGTCTAATTTTGAACTGATTATCTGGCCTGCTTAGAGTTTCTATAATTATATGAGCAAAGGTACGGCTATTACCTGAGATTCACAGTATGTATCATGGATTATTAAAACGTTTACCCCATAGTACCAGCGTGTGCTATTTGTAATTTAAAGTACAAAAGTTAAAATTATTTAAAGTGTCACAAATGCTTGTAGCATATTAATCTTGTGATTTTGATAATCAAAAGACAACATGAATCTTCAGTGAGGATCTTCAAGAGTCTTGCTGTTACTGCTTCTTTTTTTCTTCTTCTTCTTCTTCTTTCTTTCTGTAAATTATCTGTTAACAAAACATCCATTCTCTCTTCCCCTTCCCCAGCTGTCTTCTACTTTACATTAATGTACTTTTGTGTTTGGGCCCTTTGGTTAGGCCTCAGACATTCCACAGCTACCTGGAGGACATCATCAACTACCGCTGGGAGCTTGAAGAAGGGAAACCCAACCCTCTGAGAGAAGCTAACTTCCAAGAACTGCCACTTCGCACTCGTGTGGAGATCCTGCACCGCCTCTGTGATTATCGACTAGATGCAGATGATGTCTTCGATCTTCTCAAGGTGCTTAAGTAACAATCCCTTCCCTAGCAAAAAGTCAGCAGTGAAGAAAGTGGTCAGAATAAAAAATATGAAGATGTTAAGAGATGCCAGGTTTGGCGTGTGTGACTAGCTTAGGGCTATGAGCTAACACTGACACTGGATATAAAATTAGCATGACCATGTAGCTAAGGGAATCTGTATGGCTGTTTGAAATTTGTCTTACTTTCTCGTTTGGTTTTTTGTCTTCTCCTTGTTGTGATTCTGAGCTGACATAGGAAATATTGGAAGCAACTGTGTGTTCTCCTGGTAAAGCAGTGGTTCAGCCATTCAGCTGCCAGTGAAAGGATCTGTTTCACCCTATAAGCCGTTCCATTGGACAAAGATGTGGTGGTCTGCTTCTGTAAAGACATGTGGCATTATATGCCCTAGGGCAGTTGTGCTGTGCTTTACAGGATTGCTGTGAGTCTTAATTGACTCTCAAAAACCATGGATTTGGTTTTGGTATTTGTTCTCCCTGTTGTCAACCAAACTGTAACTAAATTAGCCTTTGAATTTTTTTTCTTCCCAAGTCTAAATTTAATTTGAACATAATCAAAATATTTATTGAAAATTTCAAGAATCTTAAACCTTCTTGTATGCTAGTGAAGTTCATCTTCCATAAACATTGTATGTGTTGGAGAAGAAAAATGTGGATGTGTCTTACCTCCCACTTAAGTCTTCTGTTGCTGCTATCTTGTTTCAGGTGTCTGTCTCTCTGGGAGGGTATGGGTTTATTACTTTCCACTCTGAGGGAGGTCAGTTTCTAATCCTGTTCAATCAGAAATGATTAAATGTGTTGATGACTTCTCAGTTCAGTCCCGCTCATGGACATGTTATAAAAATCATTGTGTAATTTAGCACAGTCTTTGCTGAGAACTGAAGGACTTGAATAGCAGTCAGAAGGCCAGTACAGGTCAGACCCTGGGGTAAATTGGGAGCTGCGTTGCCGGAGCTCAGCTGGAATAAGAGGTTGCTGTAGTTATGATGGAGCCAGAAGATCACGTGGGACAAAGCTGTCACAACATCGTATTTTCCTCTTCTATAATTATCTTTTCATGGGTGCACAAATGAAATTGTAATAAATCTAAACCAGATATATAAAATATATACCAATATTCTTTTGGTTACTGGTTTTTTTGTGTGTGTGAAATGGGGTTATGGAAGTAGAAAGATTACTTGAAATATTTCCATACACTGTTCTTCAAAGACAGTATCATTCTCTTTGTCGTTCATGTGACTTTATTGAAATTTTGATACATCAGCTGTTTCAGAGTAAATTTTGACTCCTAATTACAGTTTCTTTTTGTTTGTTTCCCGTTCTTCTAACCCTTTTTCCTATTCTCCTACCAAGGGTCTGGATGCAGATAGTCTTCGAGTGGAACCTCTGGGTGAAGACAATTCTGGGGCACTCTATTGGTATTTCTATGGGACACGAATGTATAAAGAGGACCCTGTACAAGGAAAATCCAACGGAGATCTCTCTTTGAGCAGGTACCTTCCTCAAGGGCAGGCTGTGGTAGCTGTTGTATGAAAATGTCATCAGAATTCTACAGCACACTTTTTTTCCTAATAGAGGAATTAGCTATAACAGCATACCTACAAAGAATTGGGAAGGAGTTAATAATCTGTAACCTTGCTGCATATAACAGTGGTGACAGATATTGTCCCTTTGAGAGGAGGTTCCTATTACTCTCCTTTGTACAGCGCAGTCTGTACAGCCAGGCTCCTCCTGAGCAGTACACCATTTCACTGTTATATTTTTCATTTTTCATAGTCAGTCACTTAGAATGTCTTTTTTTTTTCTACTGGAATTGAGTGTCTGCTGTATTAACCTGAAGACCCATCATTAGAAGTACCTGAAAAGATAACCTTCCTAACTGAGGAAGGTTCTTCCTTTCCGCCCCAGAAAGACAATAACCTCTTGTTTTATAAGATTTCTGATTGCTAGAAGGAGTGTTTTCACTATTAATAAGGTTATTGGGCCTTACTCAGATTCTTCTGTTGTAATTTGTCAATGTTTATTGGATACTCTCTCTCTCTCTTTTTTTTTTTTTTTGTAAGAAAAACTATCATTAGTAATTTTAAAATCATATATAACACATCAGTCCTAAGCTTGAACACTTTTACTTATTATGATGTTTCTTAGGGAAAATGAAGTACAAAAAAGTGTGTCGACTGTTCCTGGGAAAACAGGAAAAAGAAGAGGAAGACCCCCAAAACGGAAAAAACTACAGGAGGAGATTCTAATAAGGTAAGAAAATCTTTTAAGTCTGAACAGGACTGTAGATTTCACTTGTCCTAAGTGCTTCATTCTGTTGTGTATAGGGTCGCTATGAGTCGGTATTGACTCGATATCACCCAACAACATCAATCGTCCTTTATTTTCAGTTATACCAAGGACAGGGCATTGAACTAGGTTGAAGTGTGGAGACCTGGATCATAGTCCTCCTGAAATGACTGCATGTGTAATAGGGAACTGGATGAAGTCTAGCAAATTATCTTGGACAGTGGATACTGTTGGACAATTTTGGAGTCCTGGTATGGCACTGCAAAATAATGCACTGGTCCATAAGGTCAGTTTGAGCTGCAAAGTCGGTGGTTTAAACCCACCACTCACTCCTCCAAAACCCTATACAAGACTACTATGAGCATTAAATTGACTTCTAATGAACCTGTAAATCTTGCATCATTCCTAGTAAATGTTTTCAAAATCTGATACACTTTTTTTTAAAGAAGAGTGTAACATGTTACTTCTGATTATGTTCATTATCAGCGTTTTAATAGAACTATATGTCATCTTTGAGTTTCTGAATTATTTCCCTTGAAATAGATTTTATTAGCAAATATCCTCCATCATATTTTGTTTTAAAAGAAACCGAAAATCTTAGCTTTTTTATATTTAATTATAGCAAAGAAAAGAAAGTTGATATTTTGGAGAAATTTTATTTTATGCATTCACTAAAAGGAGCTCTGGTAGTGTAGTGGTTATGAATCAGGCTGCAAACCTTAAGGTCAGCAGTTCAAAACTACCAGCTGGTCCGCAGGTGAAAGTTAAGGCTTTCTGCTCCTATAAAGATTTACAGCCTCGGAAACCCTGTATAGAGGGTCACTGTGAGTTGTTTCCAACTCCACGACACATAACCGCCAACCACCATTCATTAAAACGCATTTGTTACATATTCTTTGTCAGTGTCTCTTAGGAGACAATTGTCTCTTAGCAGACTGTGACCTACTCTGTCTAAATATATTTTTTCTGTAGATCCAACCTATTACATCTAGGATAGTTAGGCCTTATTCTTGAAATTTTTCATAGCACAGGGCAAAAAACTTCTTCCCTGTAACTTTTAGAATAATTAAACACTTCATCTTAATTCTTGGAGAAGGCTAGATCTCACTGTGCTGCTTACTAACTACAGCAAAACGTTTCTACACGATGAGTAGGAGGAGAGCGGTTAAAATTTCATTTTAATTGCAGCTGCATCTTACAGCAGCTCTTGTGAGAAATACCTTATAACCTCTTACCTTCCATCACAGGCCATCTAACTTCTTGATTTTATTTGAGTTCCAACCCTTAGATATTTAGAAAGCTATTTTGTGGATATCTCCATTCCCCTGCATGTACCAACAACTACAGTGTCTGATGCTGGGAATATGGAATCATTTAACAAGCTTACACGGACTTGCACTACCCTCTACTGGTGATGTCAATCCTTAAAAACTCTGTGTCCAATATATAATATGACAGTTATGTGTCTGAATTGTTTTACAGTAAATAAAAACTTAAAATCTGTTTCTCAGTCACATTAGCCACATTCCAAGTGTTTCATAGCTACATGGGACTGTGGCTACCCTATTGAGTGCCACAAATAAAGAATCTATCCATGCTCACACATTTTGGAGTGTAATCCCGGCCTTTGTGAATAGTCCCATTTTTATAGGAAAGTTAATGAAATTTCCTGAGGTCACATGGTAAGTGGCAGCTTGACTAGAGCTGACTTCAGAGCTCACGTTCTTCTTACCTTCTACCTTGTTGTTGTTGTTAAGTGCCGTCGAGTTTACTCCAACCCATAGCGACCCTATATAGGGTTTCCAAGGAGTAGCTGGTGAGCTTGAACTGCCCACCGTGCAGTTCAAATGGCTTTACAGTCTAGCGCATTAACCCACAGTGCCACACCAGGTCTCCACCTTCTACCTTACATGAGTTTAAATCAGATATGACTCTTTTCAGTGTAGCCTTGAATCAGGGAGGTTATTCGAATTCTAATTTTTTCTTCCCGTTTGATACTTAACTCATCTTGTAGTTTCCAGAAAGTCTTTTAAAAAGTAATGTTCTCAAAAAAAAAAATTGATATATTTTTTTTGATATATTGATATTGGATTCCTGGTATGGCACTGCATTATCTGCACCAGACTGCAAACCACAAGCAGTTCAAACCCACCAGCTGGCCACCAGCTGGTCCTCAGGAATCCTGTACAGGGTCGCTATGATTTGGAGTCAACTCAGCAGCACTTAAGAACAACAGTGTTTTGATGTTGCTGTAACATTGAGTACCTATGTGTCATTACTGAACGGATAAATGTGTTCTCTCCTATATCCGGACACTTCTGCATTCTGGTATTCATTTACTCCATAGAGTAGTCTCTGCTCCTAACCTTGCCACCTTGACATATACACACAATCGTATAGTCATCCAGCTTGGTTCACCTTCTGGGGGAAGCTCCGAACAATTTTGGATGTTTCTGTCTTAATTGATGACTTTTTTACTGTGTTTCAGTGAAAAGCAGGAAGAAAACTCTTTGACATCTGAGCCACAGACCAGAAATGGTAATGATCTTTGCTGGAGTTTACGTTTCAATTAAGCAGACATGATTAATTTATAATTACTATGCTGGCTCTCCATTTCCCAGAGTCATACAAAGTTAAGATTATTGCTATAGCCTTCTAACAAACCTTATTTAATTCTTCTTCATTATTTCTTCCTACTAACCTGATACTCTGATTCTTCATCATTTTGACTATCGGAGACGAGCATGAATTCTTTTCATGTTTGTGCCCTATTCCTGGGTACACTGTCTGTTACTTAACGTGAGCTCACTCAAATCTAGCACACAGATGTGGCGTCTGCTTCCATAATGATTTACAGCCTTGGAATGGTGAATGGTTGGGGCAGTTCTACTCTGCTGTACAATCTCTAGGAGGTTGGAATTCAGTCCAGAACAAAAGGTTTGCTAGACTACTAGCCAAAATACTGGGGGTTCATACCCGCCCAAGGTGCCTCAGAAGGCAAGACTGTTTATCTGCTTCTAAAGCGTCACAGCCTCGACAGCCCTATGGAAGAGCTCTACTCTACCCACATGGGTTCACCAGTGACAGCTGACAACAGTGCGCTAAATTCTGCCACAACAGACATATTTGTGTTAACTGTAGCCATTCTGAACATTTCATTGTAACTGGAGATAGTAACAGGAGAACTCAAAGTATGCTCTGTCAACCTCAAAATAAAATTAATAGGTATGGCCCTGGGTAGAATTTGAATTGAGAAACAGTAGTTAGAAAGGGCCTAGTGGGAACTAGTGTAGTTAACCTTTCTCTTTCTTTTCCAGGTTCCCAAGGGCCAGGCCAAGGCACTTGGTGGCTCCTGTGCCAAACAGAAGAGGAATGGAGACAGGTCACTGAGAGTTTTCGAGAGAGGACCTCCTTGCGGGAAAGGCAGCTCTACAAACTACTCAGTGAGGACTTCCTGCCTGAGATCTGCAACATGATTGCCCAGAAGGTAATGGAATTTGCTGTCTAATGCTTTATCCCACAGCACCTCATCAGGACTCCTTTTTTTCTCTAATTGCAGGAGCTTATAAATCGTGCCTTAACACTTAGATTGCCACAGATGATAAAGAAGATCTGTATTTACCTTTCGATATACTTAAGTACATATGAGAAACATCATTACTCTTAATTTTTGCGATCTGCAACCCATAGTGACAATTGATTCCAGTAATTAAAATACATAATCAAATTTTCCTGAAGTAACTATTTTCTGACTTTTCATGACCTTCATTTATGACCAATGAAGTCATAAATGGGCACATTAATTCATTTATAAATCATATGCCTAATCAACTAATATATTATTCTTTTTTACTACAGTATTAAACCTAAGATTTTAGGGGGAAAGTATAAGTAATTAATAACCTTTTAAACAAGAAAGTAATTGTTACTATGTGCAGTCAAGTCAATTCCGAGGGATAGAGACCCTGTATGAGAGTTCTGTGAGCAGCTGATAGGTTTGCATTGCCGACCTGTGGCTAACAGTCATTGCTATCCTCTCACACCACACCAGGGCTGATACTATTGATTTTCAAATACATGAAGTTGATTCTTTGCAAGAGGTGAAAAAAACTAAAATAAGGTAAACTTTAAATAGAACTTTTGTTGTTTTTAAGTGTTGTCAAATTGGTTCTAACTTAGTGCTTAGAGTTTCCGAGAAGCATCTAGAGGGTTTGAATTACTTACTACTTTGTGGTTAGAAGTCCAGTGCTTATTACCACAGCATTGTTTATCTATCCTGCAGGCTACAGAACCATGAAGTCAGAAACCAAAAAGAAGGATCAAGGGACTCCCCCTACAATATAGTAATACATAATTCTGTATGTTAGAAGCATTCTCAGTGTACCCTCATTTATTTAGAGCCCTGTTACTAAAATCCACTGCTGTTGAGTCAGTTCTGACTCACAGTGACCCCAGTGGACAGAGTACAACTGCTCCATGGCTATCAATCTGTCCCCTAGGTAGTCTCACTGACCTTGAGGCATCAACTGTTGTTAAGTTTTACAAACCTATTTGTACAATAGGTTGTATTTATTATTTTGTATTTATTATTCTAATTGACCAGTTAAGCTATAAATATAAGCATAAAAAGTTCCTATTAAAAATCTTTACTTACAAACCATTAAAGAAGAGTTATTTTTAAAAGTCTGTTGTGTTGTTGCTAAGTGCCATAAAATAGGTTCCAGTTCGGCTCCCCTGTGTAAGGTTTCAGAGGAACTCTGGTGGGTTTGAACCATAGACGTTGTGGTGGACAGCCAGTGTTTATCCTACAGTGTCATATTAGGAACCCCTTTTTAAAGTATACTGCCTTTTGAAACAACTATAAATGATAAGCACAGAACTGTAAACCACAAGGTTGGCAGTTGGAGCTCAATATCTGCTCCCCAGAAGAAAGATGAGGCTTTCTGCTCCCATAAAGATTGAAATCCTCATAAAACCCTAGCAGGGTCACTATGACTTAGAAACAACTCAACTGCATTTAGCAACAACAGCATCAAACAACTGGGGAGAATGAAAAAAAAAAAAACCATTCACATCTACAAGTACTCTGCATTTATTTAAGTCCCACAACATCACTTACAAAAACATGTCAAAGACACGATGTTGGTTTAAGAAGTGGTTTGGTTTAAAGTGAAAGTAGGAACACTCCCCTCCCATCTGAAAACCCACACTCCCTGGAATGGTATTGACCATAGATCCAGGATTGGTGAATGGCATTAGTTTTATTCATTAATTTAAAATGTTTGAGGCATACAGATTTTTTTTTTCGTTCCTTATTTTGACTGTGTTTGTCTACCACTTCTTGCCCTAATTGCATAGATCAAGTGTTCTCTGTCCTATTGACAAAATTCAAATGTGAACATTGAAAATAGATCCGTGTACCAAGTAGACTCTGTTATATGTTAGTATGTAGTAATTAAAGTTATCATACCCAAAACCTAGGCTATGAAGAAAGGGTTTTTATGATAGAATGTAGAAGCATTGTAGGTTTTTCTTTAAAACTTCTTTATATTGTGGTGCTGCCTTTTCTAGCTATCTCTATGATAAGGTACTTAATTTCTCTGAAATTATATTTTCTTTTCAGTAAGAATAAAATGAATGAACCCATATTTGTGTACATAGCTTGTACTGAAGCATTCAGTCAGCTGTCACTTCCCTTTCCTTGTTTACAGAGACAGGAACTTGAGAAATCTTGGTAAAAAGTTAAATCTATATTTCTTTTCCAATGAAATATAAATCAGAGAGTTAAAGCAGAATAAATATGTTTTGGGAGGTATGATAGTTTTCTCAACTCTGAAGTAAACAATTATATCGACTACTTTGACAATTTGACTTTTATGATGAACTTAAATAGAAGGAAAAAATGTACTAGTAAAACTTTGCAGCAACTGGTTTTAAAATGTTAAGTGCTAGAGTGATACATAGTAATAGCTGACTATATGCTGTGGAGTTGGTTCCGGCTCATAGCGACTCAATACAGGGTTTCTGAGGCTGTAAATCTTTATAGGACCGAAAGCATTGTACAGCTTTTACACAATAGGTTCTAAATAAATTGATTAAGGCATAGATAATACATACAAAATGTAGTAGCTAAGTACCCGTGTAGGGAAACTTTGTCTGCCCTCTTTATCAATAATACCACCTTAATCATTAATAACTTTTATCTCATTTGACAAAGTTGGTGTTAATCTTTTATTGGCTTTTTGCTAACAGTATTTACTGTAAACTGGCATTGTCATTTTGGAAGACAGTCTATGGTAAGTTTTTATGCTCATTTAAGGTTGAACAAATCTGCCTGTTGGTTGGGGTCTTACAGGTTACCAAGGAGATTCACATAGGTATCCTCGAAGAAACTGCTATGGTATCTCTGGGGAGAACTATTTAGAGTATCACAACACCTTTTGATAATTGGGATTTCCTTTGCACGTGATTTAGTCATTTTGTATCTTGAATACAGGAAAGATTTCTCAAGCTACTCTTATTAAAACTATCCCTACTGCTCTGTAGTATCTTAAAGAAGTTTATTGTTGTCGTTACGTGCCTTCAGTCAGAAGACTTATAGCAACCCTGTATAGGGTTTCTGAGACTTTTAAATCTTCTTGGGCGATTTCAAAGGAGCAGCTGGTGGGTTTGAACTGTAGGCCTTTGTGGTTCATAGTCTGATGGTGATCCTACAGCGTCACACCAAGGAGTCCTTACAGAAGTATAAATCACATTATCATTGTCAGTGAGGATTTCCATCCTTTGAGTTGTTACCTCTTTGATTTTTCATGAAGTCTCAAGATTGTAGATTAAGCAGTGTCACAACTAAACCCAAATAATGCAGATTTTTATATTGAAACCACAGAAGTTACACATTCTGACTGTAAGAACCTTTCTTCATGTTGTTGTTAACCAAGTAATTTCCACCAAAATTTAATTTTTAAAAAATATTTTAAAACAAAGAGACAGTTCTGTTTTGTTTTGCTAATGATTACAGACTGTCAAAGAAGACAGTTTATTGTTTTCTTGTAAGTTCTCTTTCATTTAACCAAAAAGGGAGGGATGGGGGGGAATTGTGGAGAAAGAGAATAAACGGTGATGTTTGTCTTTCTCACTGAGGATACCTGTAGCCTCCATTTGAGGAAAATCATCACCTGTGTTCACATGTCTTCTGCTGTTACCACCAGCAGCCACCACAGTAGCAGACAACCCCCTCATCTGTCTTTTCCTTTCTTTTCCTCACTTCCAACTGTGTGGAGGACATTCAGGACACAGAAAGCCGAACTTAGATGCAACCTATGGAGATACCTGACCCACCTATCTTTAAGGGGACAGAAAGCCTCATCTCTCTCCCAAGGATTTGATTTGAACTACTAACCTTGTGTTTAACAGCCCAGCCTGTAACTCACTATGAGCCAGTTCTACTCATTCAGTCCCATAGGGTCTTGCTATGAGTCAGAATCGACCCTCCCGCAATGGGTTTTGGTTTTATTTTAATGAATGCAGAGATGAAATTAAGTTGGGCAATGGAAGTAGAATTGACCTGTGCAGAGCTGTGCTTGACTTGAGTCATGTGATTTTGATGGGTGGCCGTTGGAAGTAGAGTAGTTGGGACACCTATTAATTCAGCATTCAGGAGTAACTTAACACACAGAGCAGGAAAGTGTATGATGTGGTCAGCGAACAGTACTTCAGATTTGGCTGCAATTTAAATATGTTCTAAAGTATGGTCGACTTGACCATCTAGCTAAGCCTGTTAATCTTTGCAACATTCAGGGACTCATAGACAGAGTCATTTGTTGAACTACTGCTTTGTGAAAACTTCTTACTGACTGACGTAGTGCTTTTCTGATTCGTATATTCAAGTGACTACATGATTGTATGTTACAGAGATTTTGTCATTAACTATACTCTACTTTGAGCCCTGAATATAGAGACCTATTAAATTTCTATTTACTGCAATGTATTATCCACCATTCATCTGTTAGTTTGGGGTCCTGGTATGACACTGTGGGTTAATGTGCTGAATTGCAGTGTGGTTTGTTTGTTTTATGTTTTTAATTAAAGTTGTTTGAACAACAAAGTCATCGGTTCAAACTTACCAGCTATTCCTCCAAAACCCTATACAGGGTTGCCATCAGTCAGAACTGACTTGATAACACCTAACACAACATCTGTCACTTTATCATACTGTGGTTGTTTGTGTGTTGCTGTGATACTGGAACTTGTAGCAGCATTTCAAATACCACCAGGGTCAACTGTGGTGTACAGGTTTCAGTGTACCATGAAGCTTCTAGCCTTACACTGGGAATAAGAAGCTGGCAGTCTACTACTGAAAACAATTGGCCAGTAAAAACTTTATGGACATCTGCTCTGGAAACTTTCATTCAATCCACAATAAAAACCGTTTTTAAAAAAAAAAAAAAAAAAAACCTTTAAGACAGCAGTGGAACATTACCTAACATA